ATATATATATTCTAAATTATATATAAATAAAATAATATATATATATAACATATATATAATGGTTAATATATAATATATATTATATATTATAGTGTATATATATATATATAATTTATATAATAACCGTTATATATATTATATATAATATATATAATTCAGTAATATATATATTTATTATATATTATATATATAATATATCTATATCTATATAAATATAAAAAGGTTTGACATTTACTTGAAATAGAATCTAAAATCCCGCCTAAATTTTCAGAATTACTAAAATAAGTAAGTTTTTTCAAAAAAAATTTTGAATATCCCGCCGAAATGTATTTTGAAATTTTTTGAATATAAATTTAATTGAAACATCTAAAGGAAATAATTACACAAAATTTTTTTTGAATACATTCTATCTTTATCTTAACATATATATAATTACATTCCTAACACAATAATGTTTTTCTTTAGTTTATTTTGATTTATAATATCTCGATTGATTGGTATCTCCACTTATTTAAAACAAATCTTTAAACAAAGAAAAGTTTAGTATTAATAATATCTCTAATGATTTAGTGTCAATTCATAGTAATTATTTGAATTATCGACTTGAAAGGGATTTGTTATTAGGTTATAAAATTGTTGAGAAAATATAAATTTATTTTAGGATTTAAAGTTTTATTGTGTTGTGCAAGACGAAGACCCACTATACATGCATATATGTTCCATAAAAATATAAAAATAATTGCATTTCATTAAACTATTATAAGTTTTTAATGTTTAAAAACAATATATTCAATTTATTATATGCAGATAAAATAATTTTTTTAAGGATAAGAAGTTTTCATTTAAAAACGTTAAGCATATTTAATAAAAATCATAAGTTGAATTTTTTGTGAAAGTTTCGATTATACAAAATAGAAAACTCTATAGTTATTATTTAATTCTTTTTTATATTCTCTTATTATTTTATTTATTCTCAAATTGATAGTACTACAATGATTATGTTAGTAACTTATATTATAATTTCGTAAATACTATGTACAAATTTGCAGTAATTGCAAATAATTTATTTACCATATGTAACTTTAAATTTTATTAATAACATTCACTAGATTGATATACATGTAGAAATGCCTTTGTCCTAAAATTCATTTCATCATCATACGAGGAAATTGAAATACAAACAATTATGTATGATTTGCCTATTTAAGCTAATATATTATAATTAATATTATTTTACACGAAATAAATCATATTGTTTCATTTTTTTACATGACAAAAAATAAAACATGAAGTCATGAAATATTCACATTCACAATATAGAACAAAATAGAATTGATGATAAGAATGAAGAAAGTAACGATTAAAAAATCAACAACAAAACGATAATGGTAGCAACCCTTCAACCAAGATATTATAATGATTTTTTAGATGATGTAATGTCAATTTTTCTATCACAACATGTGCTTCTTTTCTTTTTTATTTATTAACAAATATCAAAGGTTTACCGTAGAAAATATAAAATTTATTTGAAAGTTTATTTAAACTTATCTTGGACAAATATATTTGTATGTGACATTTCATTTAACTTTGTTGTTGTGATTAGATCCAATAATATTGGACTCATGTATAGAAAGTTAGAAAAATATAATAACAATAATGATAATAATAATAATAATAATAATAATAATAATAATAATAATAATAATAATAATAATAACACTAATAATAATAACAAAAACAATCATCATCATCATCATCATCATCGTCTATAAAAAAAGTTTCTATGTACTTGAAATATAAAACTAAAATCCCGTCTAAAAATTTTAAAGTTACTAAACTTGGTAATCTTTTATAATGTTAAAAAAAGCTTGCCTCTATAAATTAACTAATGAATTTATGGTATAAAGTTGACAAAATTAATAATTTCGGTTTTGGTATAAAGTCGGTGATTTTATTTTAGGTATCTGATGATCATTTTTATTTTTGGTAGGAAATGTACTGTTACTAATAATAATTTGATTTTATGGCATAAAGTGGGCGATTTTATTTTAGTATGAAATGTCGGAAAACAAAACAAGTGTTATTAATTTTATTTGATATGAGTATGAAAGTCCATTTTAGGTTGATTTGTTATAAAAACAAGGTGATATGATTGTCAAAATTTAGCTTATTCCCAGAATAAATTTTCATAAGATATTGATGGTAATTGGTGAAATTGGTATGTATTTCTCTTGAAAAACAGAAAGATCTTTGAACAAATATTGGCTAATAAAATTTAAATATTTTAATTATAAATAAATAGTTGATAAATTTGAATGATAAGAAATCAATAAATCTAAAAAATTGCGAGATAATATGTGTGTGTTTGTTTGTGTGGATGTGAAATATATAAAAGAATTTATTGTATATTCTAAATTTCAAAGTTAGATAAATAATTATCCATACTTTACGGGTCAATTAATTTGGACGTAAATAGAATAGTCAATTATTTATAGTTTAATTAATCAATTACTCAACTAATTAAATTTTTGGATTTGGATAGTTTATACGAAAATAAATACATTTTAATTGATGAAAACAATATAAGATTTATAAGTATACTTATCATTCACATAGATTTTTAAATATGTGATAAAATTTTACCTAAATATTTATTTTATGGAATCACATTGTAGCAAAATCGAATTTTTGAATAAAAATTTTAAAATGACAATTATTTTGAAATGAATAGAATTTTATTTATTATCAGCTTCAGGCACCGTACGAGTTGTGCACTCATTTTAAATAGACATATGTAGCAACAAATTTCGTGTATTGAATTTATAAACACGAAAATTTTTTTACAAATGAATTTGTAGAATTAAATGAATATTGTGAATTAGAATTTCTATTTTCTCTTATGATTCTTATCACGAATATTTTTTAGTCATGGAGCAAAATCTTCTGTTTGGTCTTCTTATTGAATTGATTTGACTTAAATTATCGTAAATCTGAAGGTCAACGCCTTGATTTCGGATCAAACGATGTAATATTCTAAGAACATGTTTTGTTTGATTTTGCAAAATTTAAATTTAATAAATTAATATAGGTAGATTTAATTAAATATTATTTTTTTTTATTTTTTATTATTAATATTATTTAATGAAAATTTTAAATTTATAAATGTTAAAAAATATCTCTTACCCGTGCATCGCACGAGATTCGTACTAGTTATAAATATAATAATTTATATAATATATATAATTTATATTAATATATTCTAATATTATATATATAATATTATAATATAATATTATATTAATATTATATAATATTATAATATATATAATATTATATAATTTATATAATAACCGTTATATATATTATATATATGATATATAAATTATACTATTATATAATATAATATTATAATATATTATATAAATTATATATATTATATAAATTATTATATTTATAATATATTATATATATAATATATAATAAATATATATTACTATATATTATTATATATATTATATTATATATTATATAATATAAAATAAAATATATATATATATATTATATATAATATTATATAATATATATATATAATATAAATAAACAAAAAGAAATCAGTCTAATTTTTTCATATAGTTCGACATGTTCTATTATTTTGTTTATTTAAAAATAACTAAATCCAATATTAATAATATTCGATCGATCATTAGAATTACTGAGTGTGTTGTGTTATAAAGTGCAATGTAGTGTTGTATAAAGTGCAATTCTAAAATTATGGTATTTCAACATCATTGTGTTTTTTTTTTTTT